GGCCCAAGGTTCTCACCCGAAAGTTCTACAACATGCTCGTGGCTTCCAGTCGTGTCTCACTGTGCAGCAGCCGCACCCAGGCACCCAGGCACACAGGCACACACACACACAGACACACACACAGGCACACGGATAGAGACACCGACACAGGTACACAGCGCCGACATTCCGTTGTGCCTTGTGCCTGAAACGTCTCAATCTGGGAGATTGGGCACTTCTCTTCTCTGTTTTCCTTTCTTTTCTTCTTTTTTTTTTCTCTTTTGTAAATCTGTGTGGCAGACTCCTTTTGCTTTTATCGCTTTTCACAGATTTTCCGCCAGTAAAATGGCCCAGCGTTAGCTTCAAATCAAGTTTGCTTCGTTTTCGTGTTGCATTGTTGTTGCCCGACTGTTGCTTGTGACTTAAGTGGTGGCATTGACTACAAGGAAGACGTCTTTATTATTGCTGGGCAGCCGCTTTATGACTACCGTTAACAAAGCAGCAGCAGCAGCAGCAGCCATGCCAAAAGGTTAGCTCTGGCTGCGCCGTCTTTAGTTATGCGTGGCATTTCGCGGGTGCAGCCAAAAGGTGTGCCAAGAGGGAGCGGAAGAGAGAGCGAGTGAAGAGTGGGCGAGAGAGAGAGAGAGAGAGAGAGAGAGAGTGTCACACTTCCTGCTGTTTAGCTATGCTGTCGCTGTCGCCAAACTATTTCCGCAAAACTTGCAACACGCTGGCGGCTAATGTTAATGAAGTCATTGGCGGCGACGTCGGCGTCGGCGGCGTCTCTTTCAAGCTGCGCTGCATGGGGCGACTGCGTTTGCAATGTTCGTGGAATTTTTTCCATAATTTGTGCGTGTGCCTGTGTGTTTGTGTGTGTGTGTAAAAGAATGTTTTTCCCTGGTTAGGCGCAAAACCTAAACAAAAAGACGCACCAAATTCTGAGAAACAACGCTGGCTGCACGAACAACAACAGCAGCAACAACAACAACAACAACAAGAACAATGTTGCAATGCCGCAGGTCGCCGCACTAAAAATAAATTGTAATCTAGATTTTGGCAGTCACTGTGCGCGCGCGCAGCGCTGCTCAAACTGTGCGCAATTGAGCCATCACAGCGGCTGCTGTTAACGCTTGTCACTCCTCCACACTGCTGCTGCTGCTGCTCCTCCTTTTACTCTCACTGTCTCGCTCGCTCTCACTCTGAAGCCTCGCCAAATGTTGCCTGAGCATGTGACATATCATCAATCTTGCATGCTGTTTTTTCTACTCCTTCTTCATGTTCTGCTTCTTCTTTTTCTTCTTCTTCTTCTGCTCGTCGTCTACAACTACTACTGCTGGCTGGCTGACTGCCTGCCGCCTGCCTGTGTGTGCTCAACTACAAGAGACACCCGCAGCTGCTGTCGCTGTCGCTGCCAGCGTCGGCGTCGTGAGGAAATGTCACAAATTGATTTATGGCCTCTGCGCGCTCAGTTTGCGTTGCTGTTGTTGTTGCCGTTGTTCCTTTTTACTTTGACTAAAGCGGAAAATTGTTTGTGCTGCATTTTCTTTGTAAGGCCTGGCCAACTGGGAACAGCTTCATTAGAAATGCGCACATTTTGCTGTATTAATCCACAGCGCTTGGGCTAATCCCACTGGCAATGCCAGTTCACAGTTTGAAATGCACTCAGCCGCTGTGACGTGTCGAATGCGTGTGGAGAGGGAGAGACACACATAGAGG